TGCATACGAAAATAATATATTCAACTTGAGTGACAAAGTGAACAGTGTCAGTGGTATTATCGAATACGCAATTACAAAAAAAATGGTCAAGATGTTATATTTTCTAAATCATATGTATAACTAAAAATGACGAGAAATATTTTTAATTTTTCCTTACAAAAAGAACAATAATCGACTGTTCCATTCAATTTATTATCAGCAGTAATTAATGTGACTTAACATAATTAAATTATATAATATATGACGAGGATAATTATTCTTCGGTAATATAACTTACTGATGAGAATGCCCAACACGAACCACAGTGACCTTGGTCTTTAACTGGAGTAACAGCCCCATAATTCCTCCAATCTACAGTATCTGGCATTTGTACATTTGCTGGTTCAAGAAACATGGCTCCGGTAAATTTTGGTCGATTTACATCATTTGCAGACCTGTTAAAACCATTTAATACTTGGACAAATTCATGATGAAGCTAAAAACACGATATAAAATATATTAAAAGTATAATGAATGTACATACATAAATTATACAAACATTACTTACCATGTCTCCATACTTGTTCATCTTTAATTTAAAGGATACATTTTTCTTTTCGTAATTACTGTTATGTTTAGCAATTTTATGTTTATTATCCATGTATATCTTCATTCTAAACTTCTCTTCTATTTCAGAGTTGTATGTTTTAGAATGTTCCAACTGCAAATAATTAATACACATCTATATTAAAATACATGTCATTTTTTACATTTAATTTATTCAATTATAAGTAAACAATAACAATTATAAGTAAAATATTTAATTTTTAATACCAATGAACAACATTTATTTGCTTTACGAAATCGGTTTATGTACGAACATAAAACTTCTAGTGTTTGACACAAGATAAGCATGACAGAACTTTATCATTGTCACATTGTAAATGATTTATGTACCTTAAACGAAGTCCATTCTTCTTTAACAACTTCATAAAAAGATACAGCTTGTGCTGTGGCTATTACCGCCACAATTAAAAGTAGTAAAACTTTCATAGTTCTAAA